GTACTGCCTGGACTGTATTTTCCCTGCCTTCCCTGAACCTTTCTTGACCTAAGAAAAAAAGAAACAAAATATCCCCCTCTAGTGGTCGAAGGCAGAATAGCAGCTTCCCATTAGTTTCTATGGACGGAAAAGAGCAGATACGGATCAAATGGTTTTCAATGCATTCCTATGGGAAATGCAGATTTGACCTGAGAACTTTTTGACTTGAGAACCAATACGGATTAAGTTCTCAAGTCAAGACCCCACTGTAGTCTACTCAAGCTCAATAATCATGCCCAGTAGTTCTGAATCTCTAACCCTACAGATGTTTTAGACCTCAGCTCCCAGAATCTCTGATCACTGGCCATGCTTGCTGAGGATGCTGAAATTGAAGTCTGACCAAAACATCTGGAGGGCCAAAGGTGCTGGGTTTCGTGCGTTGCATCAGATAGTCTACATAATATTAACCCCCTTTTGTAGAGTCTTTTTTTCACTCAAGAACATCTAATGGCACAATCATAAAGACAAACTGAACATTTTAAGTTCAAACTTACATTTCCTGCCTAGAAAATGCCTTCAGAAATATTTATTCAAACCACTTCTGTCACCTAGGACTATTCCATTTTTCTTCACCTGTGACTGTTAGGGGGACCGACCATTCACTCTTAACAGGATGCTTTTTATCATGAAAATTACACAGGCATAAGATCCCCAGTTAGGATCAGGAACATAGCATGAAACAAAGGGCTATACCTCTCAACCCCTCCACTGTTGGATCCCAATATGGGTCTGGTCTCCTGTTGTTTACTTTTGAATAAGACCAAACAACAGACTTAACTTCATGCTACGTATTCAATGCTGTGTTTAGTCTGATCCACAGTAATCTAATCCTTATTTGGAGATAGTTCGTAGGGATGCATTTAAATACTTTGCATATTATAGCTACTATAGCTCCATAAGAGAAGCCACAGGCTTGAGTTTGTAGGAGCTGGGCAGAGCGGTTGAGAACCAGACATTTTGGAAGTCACTCATTCATAGGGTTGCCATAACTCAGAAGTGACCTGATGGCTTGTAACAACAACAACATTATAATAGTTCCAAGGGTAAGTCACAGTAGATCAGATAGGGAGCAGAAGCAGTAATGAAAACAGCGACAAGCCCTATGGTATGAAGACTCAAAAGTTTTTGTTAGCATAAGTTTTTGTGCTGTTGTTTTTGCTGCAACAGACTAGCAAAGCTTCCTCCTTGAAAAAAAAATCAATGAAAATGGAACAGTAACAAGGATCAATGCTTTTCAAAGGCATACTATGTTAACATTAGTTGTAACTTTAAGGGATAACATGAGATTATTAATGAATGTATGATATTTCCACTGTCTTAAAAATAAGAAATATGATCCTCAAACCTTCCAAATGACCCTTAAAAAAATAGGAGTTTTAAAATGCTGAGTTTACTTGCTATACCCTAAAATATAGCATATTTGCATTAAAACACACAAAAAGGACATCCTCAGTGCCATGAGAAGTGACACGTTGCTTGTCACACTGTTACCTGTGATGTATTACTCCAGGATGTGGAAGGGACCCATCTGTTATAGAGACAGAAGTCTGGTTTGTAGCACATGACAGTGATAACAATGCAGAGGGCTTCTGATATCCAAACAGCCTACAATGACAGGGTTCTGCTTATCTCTACCACCCTGCTATGCCTGAGCTTTAACAAATAAGCTCTCTCTTTCTTTACCCTCTCCTTTGCATCCTATCATCCCACCTCCCAATCATAAAATCTATAACCACTCCCTTCCCAGCCATCACAGTTCATGTAAACTAGTTTGTGTGTCTCATGTTTCATCTTGGGGGCTGGGGAGGGGGAGGGAGCTACCATTCCTTATCTTTAGTCTGAGATAATTAAAGGTTTGGCTGGCACAGGCTGCTGGAACAATCAGAAAACATAATCCAGTGATTAGAAATGTGATTGATATGTATATATCTGGATTAAGCCTTCCCTAACCAGGTGTTCTGCCAATGAACAGCTCTATTGCCCCAAGGATCACTGAGGATGGGAGTTGTAGTATCCAGCCAGACAA